AGAGAGAGAGAGAGAGAGAGAGAGAGAGAGAGAGAGAGAAGAGAGAGAGAGAGAGAGAGAGAGAGTGAGAGCGAGAGAGAAACCTACGGACTTGCATATACGATCACACATACACGCGCGAACAAACACCCATGTACGTATACCAAAGCACACGCGCACGCGCGCATGCACATACACGCGCGCTCAGAGCTACGGTTCTATCGTCTGCATTGTTACATCGCGCTATAATCTGAGATGAATCAGATCAAGAGCTAATAATACCGAGGTATTATTAATTAGGTATTATTAATTAGGATTAATACCGAGGTAATAATAAGAGGTATTATTAGCTCTTGATCAGATCCGTTTCGTACGGTACGTGGATCAGATACAGTCTGTCCGCCCCTATGCATGTCCCTTGCACGACGACACCCGCGCCATGAGAGGAAGATGGTGAGAGCTGCAAGTCTAACATACGGCGTACCCTTTCCATTTCGGTGTATCGCCGATTGACATCTCACAAGCTACCCGTCTATTGAATAGGGGTGTACTTAGTGCATACATAATTGCCGTCGTTATCATCATCATTATCATCATCATCATCATCATCGTCGTCATCATCTTCTTCTTCTTCTTCTTCTTCTTCTTCATCATCATCTTCATCTTTTTTTTCTTCATCATCTTCATCTTCGATAATGAAAACAGAAAATATCGCTGCTCTCATACGTTCATACGTCGTGTCGATTTGATTGTTCGTCAACCGCATTTTTGCCCCGTTTCATTGTAGGATATTTTCCTTTTTGTTATCGCTGGCATTTTCATTACGAAACCGGTCACCTGCATTGCCAGCAAACACATGATTAAACTGTGATTAAATTTCGTTGCGTTTGTGCATTTTAATGGATTTCTCTCCGCCACTAATCAGCGCAATATTAGAAGATTATTTGGGAACGAAATATTAACATTTCACGTAAAATAGATACAGGTAAATCGCGAACGAGAGATTGTTCTGCGAACAATGTAAACTGATTATTTATGGCCCGACAACAATGGAACCGCGTAAATTTGATACCCTGCCTTAGTAGGTAATCGGTATACGTCATTTACCCCCCCCCCCCCTCCCGTAAAATGATTACGTTTCATCCGTTTCATATTCGATCTTCTGTTGATGTGTTTACACCAGAGTACACCGATGGGTGCCAATTTGTGCACGCACAGTCGGTTTTGGGTAGTTGGTGTTTAGAGTCAGCTATACGTCCCACTATATAATAATACTCTAGAGGAACGCAATTCTCTGTGCTGAGAGTCAGCTACATTTCCCAGAATACGATTATACTCTACAGGAACGCAATCTCTGCGCATAACTGTCGGATACTCGTATCAAATTGCGATAAACCGACGCAGGGGCCTGGCTCTGAACACTCCTATCAGAATGAGCCATTAGCTCCCAGCAATCAGCAAAGGGGCCACTTCTACCAGAGTACGATAATACGTTGCAGTTACGCAGGCCTCCGAAGGCTCATTGTCGGCTACTGTTCCTAGAGTAGGGCAATAAACTACAGAGACGCAAGTCTCTAGCCACTTCTACCGTAATCATCAATTAGCAAGCATCCAACAATAAGCAAGTCGAGTGCTCCCCCCACGAATACGTTAATATATTGTGGCGACGCCGGTCCCTGTACATAAAGTCGGATACTCCCCCGAGAATAGGGTGATACTCTGCACACACACCTGCGCATAAAGTTTGGTATTCATTTGAAAAAAAGGGTAAGAAAGAAGGGGAAAGGGCGAAGATGACGAATAAGAAGAAGATGAATAATAATAATAATAAGAAGAAGAAGAAGAAGAAGAAGAAGAAGAAGAAGAAGAAGAAGAAGAATGAATAAATAAATAAATGAATAAATAAATGAATAATGAATGAATGATGCTGCTGCTGCTGCTGATGATGATGATGATGACGATGAAGATAATTATGTGACCACGCTGACAACCTTGTTTGTTTACTGCTCAGATGAAGGACTCTCATGTGGCGCTGTCCAGCAGCCCGACTAAGAAGCTGACGACAACCTTCTGTAACCCGAGCGTGTTCCGATGCATCGACTACTTCGTACTGCTGCCAAAGTCACCAAAGGTAATCGCTACACATTTTACCTGATTGCGTAATAATGCAGTGAGCGTGAGCAGATAGGGTGAGGCAGCGTGAGGAAGGGAGGGATAGAGATAGAAGGCGGAGGAGATATGTAGAAAGGAAGAGAGAGAGAGAGAGAGAGAGAATGAAGGGGAGGGAGAGAGAATGTGCCGTGAATCAGAACAAGAACGAAGGAAAGGAGGCGAGAAAGAAAATAAGAGCGTGTTCGTGCGTGTGTTCCTGCGTGCGTGTGCTCCTGCGTGCTTGCGTTCGTGCGTGCGTGTGTTCGTGCGTGCGTGTGCTCCTGCGTGCGTGCGTTCGTGGGTGCGTGTGTTCCAGCGTGCGTGTGATCCTGCGTGCGTGCGTTCGTGCTTGCGTTATACTTCGCTATTTTCTAGCTAGTTTGAGATTATGCATTATATCATGCGCGTCACTCCAAGATGGCGCTGTTGCTAGCTGCTCAAGTGACCTTTCCCGCTCGCAGGTGACGCTCGCCCGACGATCGTCGTTTGCCGCGTCGCTATGGCAACGCCTCAAGCGTCACGCGGCCGACGTCGTCGCCGACGGCAGCGATAGCCGACGCCTCGACGCCGCCGTGTATCGCGCCGAGCTGCTCTATCCGGACTACGTCGGCCGGCTCGTGCAGAAGACACCTAGCGGCGGCGGCGTGAAACGCTGGTGCGTGCTCAGCGACATTCTCTTCTGTGTCTTCGTCTCCGAGCGCGCCGAACGCGCCACTGACGTCATACTGTTGCCAGGCAACACCGTCAAGTCCCTCATCTTCCGCACGGCGAGTCTGTACACGGCAAAGAGCAAGCGCGGAGGAGGAAACGGAGGAGGAGGAGGCGGCGGATGGGGAACAAGTAAAACGCTCGACGATTTGGACATGTTCCAGTTTATGATCGAGAACGAGGCTACGGGCGAGAAGTTCAAATTCAGCACGGCCAATCAGCTCGAGCTTGACAAGTGGGTGTCGCTCCTGAAGATAGCCTCTTGTCTCGACCCAACCATCGTGCCGCCAGATGACGCCACCAGCGGCGACGTCAATGGCGACCCGATGGACCCCTACCAACGCGCCACGGTGCCAGTGCCATCAGACTATTACGGTGACCTGAGCGATCAGGCACTCTACGGTGATTGCTCCACGCTCGCCTCCCTGCTCCCGTCGACGCCCGCCAGGGGGCAGCAGCAACAGCAGAGGGATGAATACTCGGCGGACGATAGCGTTGGTGACGAGATTCGAACCCCGCTCGGCGACCGAGACGCTGTTCGGGACTCGAACCGGGCGCTGGCGGAGAGCGGCGGAGCGCCGGCGCGGCACGGCAAGAAATCGATTACGTTCAGTGACGTTATCGCCGGCGGCGCGCGCACGACCGACGCGTCCCGGCATGCAGCGCGCGCCGGCGGCGGCGGCAGCAGCGGCAGCGGTGCAGGTAAACACGCAGTGAGTCGCGAGCCGTCACGCAATGCTGGCATTAGCAGCAGCTGTAGCGGCAACACCAGCAACGTAGGCATTAGCGGCAACACGATCAACAGCAGCAGCAGCGGCCACACGATAAACAGCAGCAGCAGCAGCGGAGGTAACAATATTAACATCAGCGGCAGCAGCGGAAACAATATCAATAACAGCAGCAGCGGCGGTACCAACATCAACAACAGCAGCAGCAGCGGTAACAACAGCAGCAGCAGCGGTAACAACAACAGCAGCAGCGGCGGCGGCTGCAGCAGCAGCGGTGTTTCTGCCCTAGCGGCGTCTATCGGAGTCAGCGGTGTGCGCTCTCGGCACGTGCGCGACATGGAGATATGCGAGTACCTCTACTACAAGCAGGCGACCGGCTGGACGAAAATGTACTGCGCGCTGCGCGACGGCAGCTGCACGGTGTGGCGGACGTCGGACACCGGTCAACCGCCGCTCGTCTTCCTTGACCTGCGCGGCTGCGCCGCGACGCTAGCAGACGACGAACAGCAGGTTGGCAGCGCCTTCAGGCTGACGCTGCCGAACCGATACACGTTCCTCTTCGCGCCGCCCAGCAACCTCGACATGGAGCGCTGGCTGTCCGTGCTGCGTCACAACGGCTGCGAGATCACCGACGACGACGACGCGACGACGACGACGGCGACGGTGACGTTGCGTCGCGCGACGACGGTGACGCAGAGCGCCTTCTACGCCGAGATGACGGGAGGCGGTGACGCAGCGGAGAGCGCGACGGTCGAGGCGTTCTGTACGGCGCCGCGGCGGCGACGCGCGCCGAGGGACGCGGCCGCGACGCAGACCCTGACGCAGCCGTGGTTCAACGGCGACGTGAGGCCACGAACGGGGAGCGACGCGTCCGACGACGGCCCCCCAGCGGAGCGAAGTGCGCTGTGTACGGTACCGGAAGTGCGAATCCGGAAGATGAGCGCGGCATCGTCAACGTCGTGCGAGGTTAGTGTTTCGTCATCATCTACGTGTATTATTATTGTTATTATTATTATTATTATTATTATTATTATTATTTCCAAAGTGGATCACGTCATTAGCCTGTGGCTTCTGGGTTGGCCGTGGGCCAACCTGGGACATATGGATTCAATCCAGAATTATTATTATTATTATCATTATTATTATTTGTACTTTTATTTTATTATTATTACTGTTTATAACTATTCATTATACTGTTTATAACTATTCATTATACTGTTTGATAAATTCTCTGTATTATTCCATTTTCATTCATATAATAGTGTTCAATATTTTCATATCCTCGTGAAAGTACTCAGCTTCTATGGGAGCATTGGCTTTTCCCATTACAGCGATTCAATTTTCTACCTTTTTCCACTCGGGAAGTAGCATTGATATTGCTTATAAATCAAACAATTTCAGCTTTTGCGGCATCAATTGCTCACGTTCTCCCCCCCCCCCGTCCTCGCGTTAAACGTAGCACTTACATCTCTCTCTCTCTCTCTCTCTCTCTCTCTCTCTCTCTCTCTCTCTCTCTCTCTCTCTCTCTC